TTAATGTCATTGTTTTGAATATATTTTCTGGAGAATTTTTCCACATAGTATGATCTAAATTCTTGACATATTTTGTTTGACTTATAATTGCACCTTTTTCCCCTCAGGGCCGTCAGATGCTGGACCTCGGGTCATTTTCAGTGTAGACCTCTGGCATCCAAACGTGGCTGCAGCAGAGAGACAAGCTTTGGACTTCATGTTCAGCCCTGACTGCTGAATTTGCTCCTGAATATCTCAAACACAACACGTAGGGGTGCCTTACTCTCGCCCTGCTTGTTGTGGGTCATGCATCTCATTCCAGTCGATGAATCACTGTGTGAATCTGACCTAAGAATTACCCAAAGCCATTAGCCCCGCCCTCGAGGTGTGACTGGATTTTTGGCCTGCACCAGGAAGTGCCACACAAGTAAAGATACCATAGACCAGTGGTACTCAGCCTTGTTAGACTTAAGAGCCACATTGACCAAAAAATATTTCTGCAAGAGCCACAATCAAAAAACCTCTTTCTTTCCTGAAATATGTGAGGGGAAACAAAGTGACATGACTTGCAAAGAATAATTTCTGCTGACAATGTTTCCTTTTTTTAAACAATTACTTTGGATTTTTTTCTCCAAGTACAACCTAAAAGAGCCACAACTAGTCCCAAATTAGCCACATGTGGCTCGAGAGCCTTGGGTTGAGTATCACTGCCGCAGACAATACTAATTTGGCTTGAAACAACAAACTGACATCATTTGAAAGCACACAAATATCAAGAGAAGCAGATCTGGTGTTGTAAATCTTATCTTCACATCATATACTCTGCTAGTGAATGCTCTCTGCATGTTGAACCTCCTCGTCCTGATTACTGGACTTGCATGTGCTCTTAAGCCTTCAGGAAGTCTCGGACAAAGTCTCAGCGGGTTGTTTTATTTTGAAAGGTATATAGATTACCTTCAGCTTAACCAAAAAAACTGTGAAAAAATTAAAAAATTATATTCATGATGATTTCATTTATTTATTTTTGTTTCCAAATGGATGCCGAACTTTTATAAACCTTTGCACACTGTGGTGATTCATTCTCTTCGTATCCTCTATGTACTGTATAACTTTACGTTTGTATCTATAAATAAAAATTAAATATGTGAACATGTTTGTCTTTAATTGTATTAGCAGTGGTTTTACAGCATTTTCTGTATTTTACGCAACTGGCAACCTCTGTTGTTGACAAAAAAGAAGCCAATAAAGAAGTGCAAAAAAAGTGCAGTTCTTTGAGTTTCCACTGGAGGCAAAAGCCAAGGAAGTCCCATACACACCCGTAATAAAACCCCATTTTTACATCAGAAATAAACATGTTTACAGAGTGCCACAAAAAAACGTTTTGTGTCTGAGTAGTTCATGTCTTTATTGGCACACACTGTATGAGGATGACATGACATGTTTTGATTTTATGAAGGAAGGAGTTATGCATATTTAGAGGCGTGACTGATATGACTGCAAGGGCACCTTGTAGCCGTTTGTTGGGAGGCTTAAGGCCCGCCTCAGCTCCACCTTTATGCCCGTTACTGGGTTGACCTAAAATACGATTGAGATGGTACTTCCAACATGGAAACCGCCATTGGTGGGCTTCAAATTTAGTTTTGGACTTTTGCATTTGCTGTTGTAGGAACAGTGTTTCTGACGTTGCTGCACGTATTTCCTGATGTAAGTCATTTCGGCTGTTGCAGGTCGGATACCCTTGCAGGCCACCGTAGCGCTGGTAGTAAAAGGTTAGAAAAAAATCAATGTGATCTTGTTGTTATTTATGGAGCTAAAAAAATGGCCAGTATCATTGTTTGTGGGAGGAGGGAGTTTGTAACCTTCAAAACCTTACAACAGTAAGTCACTTAATAATATGAACTGAACATGATTTTAAAACTCTTCCTGATTCATTAAGCTCCTGTGGTGATTTTTGGTTACTTTTGTCCGTCAGCTGATGAGAATTACAGCAGTGATTCTGTCTTATCCTCCATCTGTTCATCGGAGGGTCCCATGACAAGGATTACAGAGACTGAACTAATCCAGCCCAGGGAGACAGATTATTCCTCAGATTGTTAATATGTCGTATGTATGTATGTATGTATGTAGCGGCATAATGTATGATTCGTTCTACGCTTGACGTTTCATCCATGAGCTCTGCTTGTGAATTTTACAATGACCGATGGCTTTGCATCCAATTCCACAAATAATTCGCCAACACAAATCTCCAGTATTACTGTCGTGGGTGAGCATTAATGGATTAGAGTCAACTGTTAAATTTTTCTCCATGTCATCACAAGGAAGAAAATTGCACCTTTATATGCCACTGCAAAAGAATAATAATATTGCATTAGACTTTTATAGCGTTTTTCTGAATTGTCAAATACGCTTTACAAAGAACAACAACAAAACATAACAAAGAAGAAAGAATCTGAGAGAAGGAGGATGAGAACAGAGTCTGTTGGTGGTTCAGTGAGTTTTTAGGGATTTCATTGAAGGTGATGAGTGAGAGGGAGTCTCTGATGGTTTTTGGGAGTGAGTTCCAGAGAGTGGGAGCTGCAATGGAGAAGGCCCTGCCCCCCCAGGACCGATGATTGGTCCTGCAGGGGGGGACAGGAGGTTTGTGTCAGCAGACCTGAGAGTGTGGGTGGGAGTGTGCCGGTGGAGGAGCTCAGACAGGTAAGGTTATATAGCTAGGTTATAGAGTGCTTTAAAGGTGATAAGTTTAAAGTGGATACGCTGGGGGATGGGAAACCATTGGAGGTTATGAAGGACGGAAGAGATGATGTGGTCACGGGTTTGGGAGTCTGCAAGAAGGCGAGCAGTGGAGTTCTGTATGTACTGTAGTTTCCTGAGTGTTTTGGACGATGAACCGTAGATGAGACTGTTGCAGTAGTCCAAGAGAAGTCATTTTATATTTTTATTTTGTCCATCAATAAAAACAGTCTCAGCTTCGGTTCAGGGAGCTATTATCTTTGTTCGGTTGGAGAGTTGCATATCCTGTAAAGTCTCATTCACGTGTTTCCCCGACACTCTTGACTTTAGGTTAGAGCCTCTCTGATTATTATGAACAGCACATAGAAATAGCTCATTGTCTCATTCTGCAATCTCCATGTTGGCTTTTTATTATGCAACAGCTTTATCAACAGAGGGATTACATTCACTAAGAGACAGATGTCAAATGAACAGAGTGGTTAAAATATAAATCTGATTGTTATTGTTTGCAGTCTAATTTTTAGATGTACCACTCATATTTGATGAGAATTGGATTAAGCCCTAAGCAGACATAGATCATTACATTTTATTTAACTCAGCGATCCAATTTATTCATCTTATTATCTCGGGATAAGATCACTGGTTTCCCCATGGGCGACAGTAACTCAGTCTGTAGGGACTTGGGTCTGGAACCGGTTCAAGTCCCGGTGTGGACCAAATATGGAAATTGTTCTGGTTGCTGGAGAGGGGCCAGTTCACTGCCTGAGCACTGCAGAGGTGTCCTTGAGCAAGGCACCGAACCCCCCCACCAGCTCAGGAGCGCTCACTGTGGGATTCCCCCTCACTCTGACATGTCTCAATCAGTGAATGTCCATAGGATGTGTGTGTGTTTCAGCCTCTGTGTGTGTAGCATGTTCAACAATTTCCTCTCGCAGGGTTAATAAAGTATATCTTCTTCTTCATAACCAAGACATTCAGCTGCTTTCTCAAGTTCTCGAGAATCGAACTTGTTAGAACAGGAATACCAGCGTTGTTATCTGGATGTAACAAGATTAATTAGTTGAAATCTTCAGAAAATGGCTGAATTTTAACATGAAGACCAGCGTTCTTATCCAGAGAAAATGATCTAAATGAGTGGCGAGCTCGAGAAACAACTGAAACTCCCTCGTAATCTCAGGAAAACAGATGGGGATCTCAGGAAAAAATGTGGGGATACTTGTCCGCCAGGGCCTCTGTATTAATCTGCTTGATCTATATGGTATTTTATTAATCTAAGCATAGTTAAGCTGTATTTGATAACGCATGCCTTTTACAGTATGCACAGTCCAATGATTGTACTCCAAAACAGATCAGATTTAGATTTGAGAGAATCCCATCAAAGGAATCTAAATGAAAATGCATTTTCCAATACACTCAAGTTATAATTCAATGCATGCTGTCTGGTCGAAGTGCACACTGCATGCTTGAACAAAGTGTTAATTCGTTTTGGTTGGACATGTTGTGCTTCACATAATCATCCAAGATCATCCTCTTTGGGAGTCATGATATTAATGCTAAACTGGAGAGCCGTCCTGTCTGCTGCTCATGAACAGATTGTTGAATAGACAGGCAGAAGAATGGATGATCCAGCCTGCGTTTTTTAAAGGAGCTGCTTATATTTTCAGAGCTGTATTATTTAGAATAAAATTTATTCAAGTACATTAGCACAGTATCTGTTGTGACTTAACTCTATTGTAACAAAGTAAGTGCTTTGCTTCCATGCACAATCCTACAATTTATTTAGGAGCCGCTTTTATCTAAAGCGGTGTACATCGGAGAGTAAGAACAACACAAGCGAGGATCTAGATAGGAGGAGACGACGACAGGAAGTGCAAACAAACAGCTCACCAGAGGCAGAGAAAAAAACATCGACAGCTGTTCTTGAGAGTTGTAATCAGCATCAAAATCATCCTAAATATCACCATTATCATTAAGGTTGTAGGTGTTCATAAAGAGCTCTGGTCACCATCGTGTTTTATGTAACATTTATTATAAACTCTTGAAAGTCTATGTTTGTGCAAAATGCTTTCTTAATTTTGCTTTTAGTGATGGCTGAGAAGATTTTTTGTCCTTTATATATTTTTATCAACCTTGACCAAGACGCCTTGTTGACTGTCACACTCTGACATTAACCGTTTGAATGGATATATAGTCTAAAAGGAAAAAAAGACAAGGCTAACTTCAGATATTTATTAGCTCTTCAGCTGATGACGATTGACAAAGATGTGAACACTCTGAGAGACTAAAGGTAAAGTTACAGACATCAAACCTTATTTAATTTTCAACAGAAATACACAAAAATTTGGATCATACAGATGTGGCTGTCCAGAGCCAAACCCTCAAAACAGACTTAAAGTTTTAAAAAACAAAAAACACATTTCCATTTTCAGGCTGATGCTACCTAAATAACAGTAAATAAACATACAATTACCACCAGTTATTAAGGTGTCATCAGCATACAGTTCAATACAAAATGCATTCTCTCCTGTCTCAGTCACCAGCTTTGATCTGTCGTCCTCATTTCTGTGACATCATTTTCACAAACTCTGTGAAGAGAATGGATAGGATGCTGATTAGTTCTTGTTTAAGGAAAACCGAGAAAAATATGTTTTGGAAGCTCAACACTTTGTCCTTCGGCACTGATGTTAAGTTGAGAGTATAGTATCTCTTCCAGGCAAATCTTTGATAAAATAACGAATGACATTGTGTGTGTTTGAAAAAATGCAAAAATCAAAAGAAATGTGACTTACAATGATGTCAAGATACAAAAAGAAGCACAATTAAAAGAAACCAAGAAAAGATTCTCAGTGACAACACATGCACGCTGCCGTGAAGTGGTTGGAGATTATTGTCTTTGTCCAAGAGAAACGAGTGCAAAAGGGAATTTGTGCAAAAGGATTCCATGTTTTTGGAGCATAAAAGCTAAAAGCAGATTTTCCGAGTTCAGACTAAACCTGCGTGAGTTGAAGCGACGAGATAGAAGAATTTGGTAGGGTCATAACCGTACTCGTCATGACATCATAAGCATAGGTGGAGTGCTGTGAGCCACACAAACGAGCTGACTACAATACAAAGGGCCCTGTTCACTTCTTTAAGTTTTATTTTACACATTTGAGCTGTAACCACCTATTCTAACCTTCTCTAACTCAACTTTTAGACTTCAGTTCTCAATATGAGGCTCTTCAAAGAAAAATAAGGTTGTTTTTTTTTGGGGGGGGGCTGTGTGTTTTTATGTATTTGTATCTTACCCTCAAAGTCAACGGTTCCATCTCCGTTGTTATCGGCTTCTCTGACCACTGCGTCGATTTCCTTTGTGCAGGCATGTTCTCCTAATAACTTCTTCATGGCATGCCTCAGCTCATCCGATGTGATGGACCCGTCACCGTCAATATCAAACTGTAGAAACATTACAAGGATTTAGTGCACGGTGGTTTCATTTTAGTTCTGATGATACACCAGCTTTAACAGTAACAGGAAACAGCCACCATGTGGTGCCAAAGACCAAAAACAGAGAATCTCTGCTGAGCTCACCTCTCTGAACGCCTCCTTGAGCTCCTTCAGCCCAATCATCCCCGCAGTTTCAGCGAGAAGCTTGGGCGTCATAAGTTCCACAAAGTCCTCAAAGTCCACCCGTCCCCCCACTGTGATGAAACAAGTGATATCAAACTGAAACCAGCTCTGACACCGCGTGACTGCCGTGGTTGATGCAATACCATAAAATGTGTGAGTGTCAGGCAGGCTTCATAAATGTGCATAAAGATGGTTAACAGTCAATAGTGGGACTTACTGTTCAAACAGTCAACCCTGCTTTATAACTTTAAAAACAACATTTGATCGTTCCCAGCTGGACTGTGCAGTCTGCTTTCGGGATGGAAATAGGAAAATAAGCTGCGTCTCTGGGGAATTTTTCTGAAACTGCTCTGTCTTTGCATTTTACTAATAAGTTATGAAACCAACGGTACAGCCAGAGAGAGAGAGAGAGAGGTTGTGCAAGTGCATAATGTGTTCTTATATTCTCTCATCTTATCTCTAAGTTATGTTTTCGTACCGATGTTGTGCAATATGGGGAATGTGCAGTATATGTTGTTTTACACTGGTATGTGCTCTTCTGTCTACTTGTGGAGTTTTGTTTGTTTCTATTCGTTTTATTGATTCTACTGTGGAGGCAGCTATGCGTGTGCAACACTTGGGAGTCAAATTTCCCCAAGGGGACAATAAAGTGTATGGTATTGTATCGAATGCATGAAGTAAAAAAATCCCCCAAAACCTGCAAAAACGGCCTCCCACAGTTCAGTGCTGGAGATAATGCACTGGTTAGAGGGCACCACTCACAATTCATGTTGATGTTTTGTCCCAGTTCTATGAGCTCCATTTCAGTCGGCATGTAACCCATCGTCCTCATCAGATTACCCAAGTCCTTACAGCTGATCAGACCGTCTTTGTCTTTATCGAACTCCACAAAAGCCGCACGTAACTCTAGATGGAACACAGACACGGGAGTTACACCTCTGGAAAAAGATAAATATGAGAGTCTGTCTGAAAGCATAAAAACAAACGCTACCTTCGATCTCCTCAGGTGTGAGAGATCTTTTCTGCAAAACAATAACAACACATTCATAAATGACATTTTAGTGCATTTATATTCAAACATCTGCAGTTTTTATTTTAACCTAATAGTAACATGTCTATTATTTTGCTCAGGCTTTAGAATCGTTGTACCTTACATGATTTACTTTAATTAAAAACATGTGGAAACTCCTTGAATGGACTGATTTGCACAAGCACTTTTATTGCCAAGTACATTTACACATTCAGGAATTTGACCCTGTTTTATGGTGCTGAACAATTAGCAAAGCAAAAATAGCAAGAATTTAAATTTAAATGCAAAGATTAAAATAAGAAGCAATTACAAATTTACATAATAGAGTATAAAAATATAAAACTCAGAGTGCAAGTCAACAGTAAATTTGAAGGCCAGTGAGCGTTCATTTTTCATTTGATTGATCTATTTTGAACATATTTCAAAAGTAACAAAAATATACATAAACAGCAAACAACAGAGGGTTCTTTCTATAGTGACTCGATGTTTTCTTAATTCCATGTTAAGGGTGTAAAGGATGAAGTGAAAAAAATCCAGTCCTACCCCTTTTTTTCTTTTTAGCTTAAAGAGTTAGTCCAAGGCCAAGTTTTACAAAAATAAAGTCAAAGACAAAGAATAACAAATCTAACAACTGATATTGATTCATTTTTTCTCATTGACTGTTCAATTATATATTTGTTAAATATGTTTTTCTAGAAAATGTGTTGTGTTATGTTTTTATTTCATGTTATACTTAAGCGCCTTCACATCACTGTGATGCTCGCTGACTGTGGGACTGAAAGGCTCGTGAATCAGGAGATTTCCTATTTAATAATGTGAAAAACATCTGGATACAGGAACATTTCTACTGCAGCTCTATTTGTCTGCAGGAGGGATCGAGGACTACGAGGTAAAACATCAACAGTTGGCTGTTTCTGATCAGTTTACAAGTGGTAACTATTTCTCTACATTTGGTGATTTCCGGCCGCTGTGTTGATTTCTATCGTGTAAATATTTCTTCTTAAAAATCCTTGCATTGAACCTTATTTTTTTTATAATCTCCCAGCATCCTATCTGTTTGATCAACAATAATATACTAGACACTTTTTTCTTTCCTTTCCACCTTAACCTCTCCCCACGAGTGTACCTGTCGACGCTTCAGAGACTCCACTACCAAACCGAGGTGAGCTGCTCCACTGGTGTGTTTTCTGCAGCGCACCTTGTATCAACTCAACATTACCCGACACACCGTGAGCACGCCGGCTTCCATTCATAATAATAGACATTGCATTAATTTTCCATAATAATCAGCCCCGTTACATGATAACATTTGAATGACTTTTAAAAAATGACGTGTGCAGAGTTCAACCTTCTAACAACACAGAAATTTGCCCCCCGCCCTTCTACTCCAGTTAGGAGGTACTTTTTAAAATCGTTTTTGTCCCAATAACCGTAAATAACAACAAGAAGAATGACAATATTTTAAAATAGTACAGCAGTATACTGCACATACTTCACTTAAAGAAACTGAAATAGTAAAGAAATATGTTCTGTGACTTACTTTTCTGCTCGGTCCTCCTCTCAGAAAGATGCAGGCTTGTTTTACACTCATGATGAAAGTCTTCGTCGAGCTCCTGGGCTGCTTGTGTTGGTGTTTTTCTTTGCTTGAATAAAAATTAAAGCTTGCTGATTTAGATGTTCAAGTACCAATCGGACTCTTTATTTCTGTGCAAGCTTGTGAGTGAGTAAACCCTGATCAGTGGGGATCTGTGGATGCCTGAGAGGCGGGATGAGGTCTCTTATGGATTATCTCTGCAGCTTTGGTCTGGGGAATAAAAATAGGCTTAATGCTGTGCATGTACACATTTATCTGTACAGTCAAACATTGCTAAAAATGTATTTATAAAGACTTTCCATAAAGAATCAATGATTAAAAAATAGTTAGAATTGATGAGAGCACTGATTTTTCTACTAAGATTAAAATAGAAATATTATCTCATCTCTTTTATTTCAGGTCCTTTCATTTGGAGAAAGGAAACCTCATCTGTTTGCTTATTGTCTGCAGTTTGTGGGATCCTTTCAGCCGTTCATTGCTGCTGGTTCTCTAAATGACAGCCTGGATAAAGCTTTCTGTCTGATCAGTAAATGAAACAAAACCCAATACAACAGATAGGAAAGACTATTTCTGTTCCACTGTTAAACACAGGATTATACATTCACAAGTTTACAAAGTGCTTTGATATAAAGCAAAAAGCATACAAAAGAAAGCAAACTAAACCAAACACAGAAGAACAGAAACAACAGCAAGAATGTAGACAACACAAAAATAACCAGCACAATAAAATACAATCCAACAGCAAAGAACCCAACAAACATATTTAACTCGACCATCGCAAGAACCATTATAAGAACCATTACAAGAACCATCGTTATAAATCGCAATAATATGGTGAGCGTCAGCAGCTGTAGAGCAAGATTTAGAAATTGAGAAAAAGAATAAATAAAGAGACGGTACAAACATTAAAAGGGAATAAGAGGTGCATAACTGCAACAGAAGGAAATTGGTTAAAGCTTTAAAAGAATAATAGGAGATAAGACAACATTAAGAAGTAAAAGAAGATTAAAACTGTAAAGAGGATATGCTCACATAAAAGCAACTCTATAAAAGTACGTTTTAAGAAGAGATTTAAAAGAATTGACTGAATCTGCTTATTTCCTCGGTGAGAATCTACTGTAAAGAATATGAATCTTTATGCATTAGAAATCAGTTTGAATATGTGGCTTAAATAGAGTAGAACAGCTAGAAATTTGTATATTTTGACATTCATACAAACAGGTTCAATAAGTGATGTTTGTATGAAGTTTCTCACTCGTCAATAAATTAATGCAGCACTTAGAAGTCTTGTTTACTCTGTTTTCATACAGAAAATACGTCACCAACATATTACATAACCTCGTACGTATGCATCGGCAGAATTAAAGGTTCTGTGCATTTTAATCTGAGTTACAGGCTGCGTTGCATGAGAGGCCCATGTATGTACAATAATGAAGAGCACACGAGCATTTGATTTGACAATCCGTGAATTTATTCTGTGTGAATGAATGTAAACAGGATGTAGATTACAGGACATCCCATGATAATGCAATGAAATAACATTTTCTATCTTTTTACATAACATCCTGTGCACACATGTACCGCACATACAGCCAGGTCAAGTTCACCGTGTAAAGTGGAAATGTTACTGAGAGATGCATTTCACCTGAATTACCCTCTCTAATTCTTTAATGCTTCAGACATACACAGAGACAGACGCTGTATTGAATCGGTTACAGTTTTATGGTGACTCTTAACAGGGGTATCGTAAGAGTTGCAGTATGGGGATGGAATAAAAGATTTATTTATATTGATGTAATGCATTGTAAGAGTCCTGCAACATAAAACCTTTTGAGACCTTACATTTTGAGAGGGGTTTTTAAGGAGGTGATTTCTTGGCGGGGTTACACGTGGTTGTTGCCAAACTGTGAGAAGGTTCCTGCTGCAGATCCCAGATAGATTATTTAGCAATTTATAGATTTATAGCAATCAAGTGCAATAATTGCCTATAAAAAACAATCAGTTCATAGTGAGTATTGATGACACTGTACTGTCATCTTTTCATGCTCTGGTGCAGCTGTTGTTCTTAAAAAGGGGCTGGTCTGATGCAAAGGCCTGAAGTGTTTTTTTAAATTTGTATCTAAGTTTAACACTGATCAGCCCCCCATCCTTACAAAATGCAAATGCAAATCAGAGGATCTACTTCTATCGTCTCTCTCTGACTGACTGTCCACTTTGTGTCTTAGAAGCTGCTGAGTTGACATCTTTAGTCTAAAGATGATGGACAAACTGTCTGTCCTGCTGACGGTGATCTGTCTGCCCTGTAAGTTGCGTCTTGCCGAAGCTCTGATACGATGTGCATACATTTAATGTTTTGGCTTTATTCCTCCATTCTCCTTTTTGTTCCTCTGCAGGTTTTAACAGTCAGGCTCTGGAGTCCATTCCCTCCACTTCAGTGTTGAAAAAACCTCAGGAAAGCCTCAGTCTTTCCTGCCGGGGATCAGGTTTTGATTTTAGTCAGTATGGGATGCACTGGATCAGACAGCCTGCAGGGAAAGCTCTTGAATGGATGGGGCTTATTTACTATGATGCAAGTAAAACAAACTATGCAAGCAGTGTGCAAGGACGTATAGAGATCACCAGAGATAACAGCAACAGCATGGTGTATCTGAGTCTGTCCAACCTGAAGCAGGAAGACTCTGCTGTTTATTACTGTGCTGGATATCCACACTGTTTAATATAAGGGTGAAGTCTGTACAAAAACCTCAAACATCTTGTTCTTACAAACACCACCAGGGGGCAGTAGATCACCAAACTCAAACATGAGAAACCATTCCTACAGAGGGGAAAAACAACACAATATGAAAACAGCAGCTGGGGTTGTGGTTTGTGATTTCCTGTTTACAGTTTTCACAAACATGTTTAAAACTAATCATTCTGTTCGGCTGAAGGGAAACATATTCTGTAATGTTTTAATGATTTAAAGAATTATCATTTTAAGATAATGTTTTTTAAAAGAAAAAAAAGAAAAGAAAGGTGTTGGTCTTGAAGCCATCAATGAAAGCAAACACTAAGGAGTAAAAGATATAACTAATGCAGAGGTCAGACGACACGCTTTAAGGACAATTGGAGCCCGATCCAGCAGACCTAGTGTCACTAATCATACTAATTTTAATGACTAACATTTACATATTTAAGAGATTAAGGGTCGACCGATAATCGTGGGCAGATATTTATATTTCAGCGATTGCCGATTAAATTCATTACTTAAAATATGTGCCTCCGCTCAGCTGTGTCTTTCCCTCTGGATCTGTTTTAACTCACCACTCTGTCTCACCTAACGTCCTGCCCACAACACCTTCTCATTGGCTAGAAGTCACAAGAGTAATGGCCAGTCAACACTGAAGCCTGAATGCCTCTGACATGCGTGGCGCAGGAGACGCCTTTAAACATTGGAGTTTTTTTAAATGTTTTTTTTAATGTTTTAATGTTCCAATTCTAAATTTTGACTGTAAATGCTTATCATTTCCAAATATCTGTTGTCAGTCTTGTGAACTACTAATATCGGAATCAATGCTGAAAAAACAGCATCAGCCTTGGAAAACCAATATCGGCTGCCCCCCCTAAAAGAGATGTCATTATCCTGTGTACACTTCTTTAACTGTAAAAATTAAAACCACGCAGAGAGTGGAATTACGAAGTGCAGGGCCAAGAGGTCACTGCAGCAAAGGGTGACGCCTCACCAGCCTGTGAGGAGAGAAAGGAAGACCCGGCTGGAGTGCTGGTCCATCCAATAGGGAACGACCTTGGACGGGAGCATACCCAGTGCATCCTGGGAGTTATTTGAACCCTATTGGCAGAAGGAAATGACCTTGCCCTTTCTCTGGAATTTATCTGGCTAAGTGGCACCTACTCGACATGTCTCCCCTTTTATGACAAGACCATTTTCCCATCGACAAATTTCTTCTTTAACAGGCTGTTACATCGAGAGATTAAAGTTGAATATTAACGATCAGAGCACAAGACTTAAAAAATGAATAATGTAGTTTTTGTTATAAAACCACTAGAGTGCTGTCAGTGTCAGTTATTTAAAGTTGACATTCAGATCTTCTGTTCTCATTGATCTAAACCCATTTAGGCAAAGCACTCTGATGAAGTTTTTGCATTTAGTCAAACAGGTTTCAGTTCCTCTGCAGCTGGTTTTCACTCAAGGCTGTGGGAGTTTCTCTAAATGTCTTTGTGCTCAAACATCTGCGAACACTGAAACAAAACTATCAGAATCCAGAGTGTCAATGCAAATCTGCAGCGTTAGGCTTTCTACACGACCACAGCTGCACTCACAGGACAACGAGTACAAACAGGAGGAACACAAAAGCTTAAAAATATTCTGCTTCTATAACACAAAACATTAAAATCACTCATAGGTTGTAACTTATTCATGACTATGCTGCTAACAGTTCATGAATAAAGTTCATATCAATTCAGCTGGCAGTTAAACAGTTAGCAAGACATGGAAAGTATTTTTCAAAAAACATAATTTTTTTGATTTGAAAAAACAACAACAAAGAAACTCAGCATGACTCCATGATTGTGTTGAGATAAATAATGTGCACCCAAAAGCATGTTTAACAAAAAAAAAGAAAAACATTCACACCAATTGCAGGCACAGTGTAAGAGCTAAAACTGGGGGTCTCTTGTAACGACCATTTACTGCAGTGCTTTATGTTGACTGTGGGTGTCGCTGTAAGACTTCTGCTCAGGTATGCATATTAGAAAGAGTCAGGTGTGTGATCCAGGAAGGTTTCTGAACGTGAGGTTTGCTGTTACTGTGAGTTTGGGGAAGTTTGTTTGGCTCAGTGATGGACTTTAATTCACATTGTTGCATGTTTGGATCAATGAACTGTTCTAACCACAACCCGGTGTGGCTGTCAGTCATTTGTAAAGGTTAAGTGTAAACTAAGGAAAAGCGTGTCAGCCAGGTCACTCCTTGATCAAGCATCTCAACAACTCAGTACTAGACTGACCTCCTTTACACACAGCGTTAGGTTCAAACTATATAAAATGGAAAATATTGACTTCAAAACT